TTGAAGTGGGCAGGTGAGGAATTTAGAGACATTTTTAAGCACGAAGAGCCCTGTGGTAAGAGCTGTCCTCTTGCAGTTTTCACAGGATTTCCAAAGGTTTTACAGGAAGGACAGGCCAGACACTGAAACACTGCCAGCAGGAACACGAGGATGCAGGGGAGAATGGGACTGCTTACTGTCTAAGACAGAGGTACCCAACTGAGAGAAGGCAGGCCCCTTCCAGAGTCGCAGGATTTGGGAGCAAGACAGATGAGGCTACTGACAGCCTAGTCTGCTGCTGTCAGGAGAACTTGGTTACAGATCACAGTAATTTATTTTGAGTCCTCTTTGGCATTGCTGATGTTGTTTTCACTGCATTGAGAGATGAGGATGAAAGCCTTTCACCAGAAGGGATGTGACAGTAAGTGGCTGTTGGAATGTGGTGTCTGCCCAATTCTCACATCTGCCCAGAGCATTCTCTACCCAGCTGCAGAAACACACAGGCAAAATCCATGAAACACTATTCCAGCTTATTTTCTATTTGAAAGTCTGTTTTCTCATCCTGAAGAAACATTTGCTGGTAGAGAGGGAAATTACCTCAAAAGACCATTCATTTTCTACACTGTTTGCTTGATTTTTTTTTTAACCAACTATTTTCAGGTGGTCACATATTCCAAAATGTGACCAAAAACTCATAAGGATTGCTGAGATTTAAAGACAGCCAAGGCCTTTGAATGTTCTTCCTGAGCAGACACAACAAGATTTCCATCTGTAACTCTTTAGGCTGCCAGCCCCTGAAAGCTAAAAATAGAACCCCCTTACCTGTGAATTCCTTTTTCTGAATGAGGCAGATTTGGCAATGATTGTGTTGAAGACACTCATACACTAAGTGTAAGAGACTCAAGAATTCCTTGAACTCAAGAACAGTTTTGGATTTGACAGTATTATTTATACCATTCAGAAATACCAGTCTGGAAAAAATACTGCAGCAGACACTGAGCATGGCATTAGAGAGTTTCCTGTCTCAAACCTATAGAAAATTAACATGTTGAAGTTTAGAAGTTAAAGATTAATTCCTACCTGCTGCTGTAGGGGTCCAACTCTCCAGCTCTTTTCTTCTACTGGAGCATCTCAGGCAAAACAGAGTCTAAAAAGAGACCTATTGTGATTCCTTTTTGTGTAGAAACACCATTTGCCATTTTTGGGTCAAACATTGGATCCACTTCCTTAAAAGCTGCCATAGGTCCTGGGGGGAGCGTGCATCACCTCTTCCTCACATTCTGGACTGTGTCTTGGCAACAATATTTGCCTGACAATGTTTAAATGTGATAAAGCAAACTGAAGAATGTGCCATGATCCCTCAGTTACCACACCAGAGGTCTGCTGCTCTGCGCTGCTCTGTGCTCACTTTCTTAGACCAGGCTCTTCAGCTCTGCCCTCTCTGCTCTGCCCTCTAAGCACCAACAATGAATCCTTTAAATTCCCATAACTCTGAGTATGTTTTCCTCCCAGCTTCACTATTCCAGTTTTTGCTTTAACCTTTTAGTTCAAGATATTGTATTTTCTGTGAAAAACCAATGAACTAACCAAACCCCAAAGCCACCTTCCGCACTGGATAAGTATTTATAAATGGATCACCTATCCATTTGGATGCATCAAGGGATTGTCACAGGTCCTCAGAATAAAAGCCACCTCTGAACACAGTTCCCTTCCTCTGTTGACCAGGAGCTGTAGAATTCTTTGTGGTTCTGTCCCCTTCCAGACACTGCCCAGCTCAGCCTTGTTTCTTCTCAAGAAACCTTTGCTTCTGCTTTGCCCCTTTGCTTCTACTTGTGTTCATCTTTTAAAGAGCACTGCAGGTGCTTATCTTTCTTCCATTTTGTGATGACTTTCATTTTCACCCACCTCACTGCAGGGATTACTGGATCCTCTCATCTCTGTGGAACAGGAACAGGATCCTCTTGTGGTCATTGTCCCATGGTGTGGGGTCCAGAGGAGCTGATGCCATCGGTGGCATCTCCCTGGAGGAGCAATATTGGCCTTCAGAAGGTGACACAGCCCCTCTACCCCATGTTGGGGGGCCAAGCCTACAGATAAAATCCTGATGTCAGCCCTGGCTCAGAAACTGAACAGCAGAACATCCTGCAGTTATCTCACAGGACAAACTCAAAGCTCCATTGCACAGGATACATAGGATAAGCTATTGCCTTTTGGTTGTAGGAAGGGCAGCAGACATCAGCATCATCAGTGCCCATGGGAAAGATGGGAAAGATGGGAAATGCAGCCCCTTTCACAGAGTCCTTCAGTCTGGGAAAGACCTTTAGGATAATTGAGTCCAACCACAAACCTAACACTGGGAACAGTTCTGAGGCAAGGTTACCTCACCTCCTGGAGGGGTACACAGACTTCAAAACTTTATACTCCTTTAGTAAGTGAAAATGTACATCACCTGGAGAAGGTTCAGCTGATTCTGAAAGGGCCTCAACAACTGTGAACTCCAGGGACAGACACCCACATGTGGAGCAGCTGCCTTTGCTAAGCCAGGTTAAAAAACAAGGCAGGCATTTCAGGTTCAGTTGTACAAAGTAAAGGATTTGAGTTGTAGATGAACAAACTCCAGAGGTGCCAGAAGGAAAGGTTACTGTGCCTGCCTGATTCTCCTCTGCTGACAGCTCTGGTCATGTGTCACTATAGGACACAGAATAACATGATGTGGACGCACAGTTCTTTCAAGAGTACTTTTAATTTTTGATTCTAGCATTTATAGATTTCTAAAAGTGACAGTGGATTGGAGGATGACAGTGCCACTCCTCCAATGATACTGGATAGACCAACAGTTTATAAAATTTCACTTCTTCTATAAAAGAATGCAAAAAATGTTTATTACATAAAGTGTGTGAGAAAGTTTGTTACAAGAATGTAAATATCAAAAGGCTTAGAACAACTTAAAAAGCCAGGGTGACAGTCATGGACCTCCAATCACATGGCTCAATCAGTGAGTTCGACAGACAAATTATTTGAGCTGTTTAACCTCCTCCCACTGCATTTGTTTAAGACAATTTGGAGGCTAACTGATGCAGAGTGGTAAACTGAATCATCCCAGAAAGAACCTAACACTCATCAGTGGGAGAGGCAATTATCCTTTTAAGTGTTGTTGCTGGATTTGAAATGCTGCATTTGTACATTAATTTCATGGAAAAAGAGGTAGAGCTTCAGCAGTCCCTCTGCTAGAGTGTGGGCACAGGGAGCACTGTAGAAGTACTTGCAAAACTGTGTTTATATGAAAGGATGTGATCTATACTGATGCAAGAAACTCACGATGTCAGTAAAAACTTGTGTAAAGGAATCTTTAAACTTGGGTTAATATTTCAATACAATGAAAGCAACTGATTCTTCATTTTTCATTGTGGTGGATAGAAGGCAAAAAGAAATAACTATAAAGAAAAGGAACACTCACACAAAGGAAGGAAAAAATTAAATATAAGAGGAAAAATAATACTAACTGATCATTTTAAATAATGCCAAAACCTAGACTTTATTCATTCACTCTCAGGAAGAGAGGTATCTCCAGTTCCCTGTAGAAGAAATTTAGATTTCCTCTGTGTGCTCTGCCAAAACAAAGATATGCTTCAGTCAAACATGAAGCACGAGATGAAAATTCAGAGGAACTGGGTGAAATTACAGGGAAGGAAAACCAACTTTTTGAGTTTTTGAACTGTTCAGCAGAGTTCAAGCTAACAGGACAATTTTGTGTTAGAAAAATAAGTAATAAATTTTCAGTGCTATAGGGAACTGTACATCACATTTCTCACAAGTTTGGATACTCAGATAAGAATCAGAAAAACCAGCTAAAATTGTTCAGATTTCAAAGGAATGTACATGTTTAATAATGAAATTAAATCCTGTTTTTCAGCTATAGCATAATACACAGTTGGATATACATGCAAGTCAGCCTTTTCCACTATAAATCTGTGGATTTTTCACCAACCACCAGTAATAAACTACTCATTTCAGGAAAGGGGGGTCATTAATGTAAGAAAAGGAACATCTGTATCACTGTAAAAGAAATTGATAAGGGGATTTGCTTGTTCTCTGGATTATGACAGCAACTATAAAAAGAAATAAATACAGTCATGACAATGAAATAAAGATAACAAAACTGAATTGTAATTTTAGTGCTTATTCATGTGGACAAATTTCTACATAAAAAAGAATATCAGGTGTGCCAGAGGCTTTCATGCTCTTAAGAGGAAAGCTTAGACAAAGATTCTTATCAGTACAGGAGCAATAAAAGAGAATTTTGAGAGGCTTTCATTAAATCTGAAGCTAACAAGTGTGATTTTATCTTACTTCCAAAGCAGCAGATCAGTTTCTGGCAGCCAATAAAGGGCAGAAATTTAGAGACAGAATCAAAAATGTTAATTTTTTAATGTATTGTTACACTTTCCTCCAGTTACAAGTAATCATTTGCCCTGTCTTACCCTTTGAAAGTAATTAGGAGCAATTGCCTGTGTCAGTAGAATAACAGAAAGGAAATTCATGGTACTTCATAGTAGAACAAAGAGCTGAAAGAACCTTATAAAATTAGGATCCCAAACTGGTGGAAAGGGGGGTGGCCAACAATCAGCATCCTGAGGGAGAGTGGAAGCAGGGAGTGCATTTTCCCTGCTCTGATAAAGTACACATATTTGATTGCAGAGCTCCTCAGCAATGGGAGAAGTTTCTCCCCAAAGGAGTGTTGATGAGCAGTGAGACAAATATGCCTCAAGGACCAGGTAAATGCCACTCTGAGAGCATCTCACAGGCATCCAAGGGCACTGATGGGCAAAGACAAACCTCACAGATCTTGAGCATCAAAAGGAATAGATAAGGATTAAGGAGTTCTGTATCTAGGATGAATTTCTGTGGATTTTTCCTTTCTAGTCCTGATTTATAACCCCCATCTTCTAGTCAAGAATTTTGACATTTTGTGTCAAAAATGCCAGTTCAGCTGAAGGGAGGCTTCTGATAAGAGGGGTGATTTTTAAAAGATTTATTGTCAGGAAGCTATTTTGTAACTTCGGTTTATGTAAAAACATTTCAGCTTGACATTTCCTACAGGAATTGTTTTGCATGGGGTGTTCAAAGCAAATTTTGAAATATGAAACACTTTGCAAATCATTAAAATAAAAAAGTAATGTAAATAAAAACATAATGCTTCAAAGTGAGGAAAGTACACAAAAATTCGTTGGGGTTTTTTGTTGTTTTGTTTTGTTTGGTTTTGTTTGGTTTGGTTTTTGTTTTTGTTTTGTTTTTTAATGGAAGTTTCTTCTTTTCAGCTTGATTCAGGACACTAGACCTACGGAAAAGCTGAAGACCTCCTTATGGAACAGGGTTTCCAGAGCCAAACCCATGCTGGAGATGATGGTTTCCAGCAGTGTCCTGGAGGGGAGAGCAGTGCTCCCTTCAGAAGTTGCTGCAGTTCATCTGCCTGGGGCATCTCAGGCACTGTGCCCTCCATGACTCACACTGCTCCTCTCACATCAGCCAGTGCTGGGCAGGACTCATCATGCATTTCTCCCGACAGGTCACAACATGACAGAAATGTTTTCTGCTCTCTCTGTACTGCTATTACTGGGAAAGGAAAAAAAAAAACAATCTCAAAACCAGAACATGCACACACAACTGCAAAACTTTAATATAATATTATAATTAAAATATTGTAATGTAATTTAAAACCCAAAACACAACATGCTCCAAGACTAGGGATATGTTGTTTTGTGAAGCAAGCAGAAAAACACACACATGTATGAATGCAAAATGTTGTCAGCATGGGCTTCAGTCACCATGGCACTGAGACTGCCTGTGCCAGCAGCCTGGGCAGGGGTGAAATCCTGCACTGCCTACTTACAAAATCAGGGGCACAGCCTGAAACTGTACTTTTAACCTTTATATAAAGACAGCCTGTGAAAAAGCTGAAGCTCCTACTTGTGTTCTTTCCCCCTCTAAATAATTAATAGAAATTTTATTTTGAAAGTTACAGTCAGGAAAAAAGATATTTTCAGTTTCTTGCTGTTTGATAGCTACCTCAGTGCTATAGCTCTTGCTACATGCATGGGAAATTAGTGGTTCAGAAAACACTGAAAAGCCACAGGCACTGTCTGAGTTTGTAGTGAGCTGTGAAGGTGAAAGAAGAGCACAAACATCCACGTTCAATTTTGAATTTTTGTGCTGTAGTCCAGGCACAAGCAGAGCCAAATGGAGAGGTGAAAAGGTTTGGTACAGAAGCAAGAGCATCTGGAGCAGAGTTTGGCTGGAAAGAAAACACGAAATTATGCTTCAAATAAACATTAGGTACACATTTGTAATAGCTCAAAGATGCACTGCAGTCTGCAGATGAAAACTGGAAGATGGGCTTCAGCCTAACACCTGAAGTGTGCAGGGATTGCTGCATGGTCTGGGATGTTATGGAATAATGCACAGGTCACAGTAAACCAGAAAATTCTGAAATTTGTTAGCAAGAGAAAGGCTGCATGGGCTCTCTGGTGCATCTCCCTGTCTTTGGGCAAGTGCTGTCTGTGCCACTGAATCATGAGCTGAGGAATTGTGCCCCAGACACAAAACTGCAAATCCAGGGGCAGCTGTTGTCACGAGGCTGGGGGTGCCCTGCCCAAGGACTTACAAACCCTGCTGAACTGTTTGTGATTCTGCAGAAAAGGAAAAAAACACCCTGAAGCAATAACTTGCAAAAGACCCTGTAGCCTTCTTCTGCACACCCCTGGATGTTTTTACAGCCTCTGACAACCTGTGGTGACCCATGAGGAGTTTTCCCTTTGGAATTGGTGTGTCTGGGGCACTTGCACTGTCACCCCAGGGTTTCCAGTGACTCTGCCCAGCTCACAGAGACAGACAGAGGCAGCTCAGGCTGCCAGAGGCAAACAAGGCATTGAAGAGAACAACTGGGTACTTCCAAAGAGAATGGCCATTTTTTGTGATTTCCAGTATAAAACAGCAAAACACTCACATTGTGCTGATATTGCCTTGATAATTAATAACCTGCACTCCTCTGGGGGTTTATGATACTGTTCTCTTAAAATGTTTTGTTTCCTTTGCATGCTCATTTGGACAGAAACAGGGGTCTTGTGAATACAGTGAAGCAGATTGACAATAGCTGTGGTATCTGTTTAGTTTTGGCAAGAAGTGTTTTGGAAGTCAAGCAGCCTGAGTCTGAGCTTTTTCATATGTGCAATGGCAGAAGTGCACCTGTGTGGAGGAAAGGGTTCCTCCAGAGATGGATGCAGGAGGACAAGAAACATTAATGTTTCTTGATCATCACACAAATAGACAAAAGAATTCTTCTGATGATTGTCCTATTTGAAATTGTAAAATTTTTCAATAATATTTTAAGAAGTGGCAACCAAATTCAAATGTTTGTCTTTGCTGGGCAGAACTGTTGTGATTTATTCCAAAGTATAAGGTTAAAAGCCTCATGTGCAGAGGGAGTCTGGATAGCTCTATTATCTGGCATTTGTGTTAGCCAAAACACTGGTTCAGATCAGCTTATTGCTTGAGCACTATGAGCCATAAATTACTAAAAATAATCACATCCTATCAGCATCTGTTACATCATCTTAGCAGCTGTCAGGGGGTACAGCTAGAAATTTGTGACTGTCCAAAGAGCAGAAATGGAGTCTGGAGTAATACAAAAAGTCACCACCAAATAATTGTAAGAATAAGTACACATCAGCCTTAAAAAATAAGCAAAGGGCATTATACAGTGAACATATATTTATACTTAGAAGTTTCATTTTCTCTGCACTTCTGCCCCCTCAAACCTTTGAATGGAATCTGATAGCCATTCTTCATTTCTTATACTTCAAGCAATTATGCTGAAAAAATGCCACTTTCTCCTAATGCAGCTCTGCCTAAGCAGCACTGACATTCTCCTGACAGCAATAATTCTCATGATCCGTTGATATGGAAGATTACAAATTAAGCAAATTTGCAAAGATCTGCCAGAGATGAAAAGCAATTTGAAGTGGAATAGGGTTCTAATGAGTATTGTCATCTACTATGTACATACCTTGATTTTATCTGAGTGCAGTTTTCTTCTACTCCTGGTACACATTCGTCCTGAGTACTTCAAAGTGTTAATTTGTCATCCTCTTCCACCTGGAGCAAACAGGTGGGCACACACCACAGCCATCCTGAGTGGGGCACAGGCTCCTGGGTGGCTGTGGATTCAGCTCCAGTTTGCAGAAGTCTGCAGAGCAGGACTTTCAGGGCATCCCACCTGGCATAGCTCAGGAGGGGTTTGTTTGGCAAAGGCTCCATGCCCATTTCATTAGGTGAAACTCAGAGCCTGTGTTCCCATAAGGAAGCACAAGCAGCCTCTTTCAGTAAACAGGTTGGTAGGTCCTAATTGTGTCTGTCGAGCTGAAATGGAAATTGCAGCTCCAGATGTCAGATTTTTGGCGCTCCTGCATTTCCAGAAGGTCCACACCAACCTGGGGGAAGACTGGAGCAACAAAGATCCATTGAGGTGACTCACCTTTGGCTTGGGCACACCTTGCACATCCCACTTCTGCTCCCCCTGCAGGGAAGGCTGGGGCTGGGCAAGGAGAGATCTGTAGGATGTTTCTATGAGGATTGGGACTTTGAGTATGCAGGACTTGCTTTGGGCTCTCACCCACAGCCAGCAGCTGACATTCAGTAGACCAGCCCCATCTCTATGGGCTGCTCTGAAGGCAGCAACCTGATTTCTGTGGCATTTCTGCAGGAATGAGCTGCAGCAACAGATCACAGATCCCACCCTGTGTGAGTACCAGCAAAGCCTCTTTTCACCCCTGCCTCAGGACACTGCTCTCCCAATGCAATGCACATACTGGATCAAGGTGAATTCCACCAGCATCTGTTTCAGGAAGGAAGGAGCTGATTTAGAGCCACCAGGAACTGCACTCCTGGGCACTTTCTTCTTATTTCTTGAACCATTTTCAAAACAGCTGTTACTTATTCCTCTTACATTTCATCATCTCAGGACATGGAATAGATATATTCCAGAGTTCCTGAGGGGACAAAAATCATTATACAGAGATTGTTAAAAAATAAAAAGGAAACAGATGGTTTGCATGCTAGTGAGGCAAAGTTGTAGGAAGTGATAATTTTATTAGCCTGACTTGAGAAAACTGGGAAAAACCAGGAAAGCTTTCAGATGTAAGAACCATCAGAGGCAGTGGTGTCAGAGACATGGCTCACACTGTAACCTTAGGCAGCAATTAAGCTCAAAAGGCAGAAGCAATTTTAACATACTATGAGCAAGACTAGAGAGAGACCTTTCAACACATCTTTCTCTTGTCTTGACAAATTCATTAAATATTCCCAGATACTTCTTGCATTCCTGATAGCCCGTTTCTCTCTTCCCCCCGTCATTTTGTTATTTCTTTAGAATATATTTTTGTTTCACAGGATACATTGTTCATGTTAATGTGTAAGTTGCAGGGTGTGTGGTCTGTCTGAGACCCAAGCCAGCTTCTCTGCTCTTGCTTGGCAGTTCCCATGGCAGCATCTGTTATCTCTCCCTTAGTCTAACATCTCTCTGATTTATCTCTACTTGCCTCTTCTATTATCTCCTCTTGCCACCAATTTCCTCTTTTCTAGCATCTGACAAGTTGACTAGCACCTTCATATAGGAGCTATCACAGCTCCCCCAGCATCCTCCAGCCCTTGCTGACAGCTGAATAATGTGGTACCTGTCCTGGTTCAGAACTGTCATTCCTGCGTAACAATTTTCAGAGAAAAATTTCTCTGATGCCCTTTGTTTCTTTTCCGTCTCTCTCTCTCAATTCTACCTAGTCAGTTTACAGTTTCTCTGATATTTACTCCCCACCAATTCATTCTGACTTTGTAAGTGGAAGCAAGAATTTGGATAAGTTCCACCCAAATGCTGAGCTGTGTATTTGGGGGTAGGGGGGAGGTGTTCAAGTCTCACGACAGAAAATTATTACCGTGTCTGACTGACAGGTAATACTTAGGGGCCAATTTCTACAGTGCAAACATATGCATGTCCAGAAAGTAATTTGTATAAACATTTGTCAACAATTGCTTGGAGCTTACTATGACTGAAAACATTCATTTACAACAGTAAATTCAGTGAAAAGAAGCTAATTCAGTGAAATGCTTGTAAAAAGCCACACTCACTGTTATCTCTGTAGAAAAAACAGAAGTCTCAAAATACTTGGTATTTAAGTATCAAATTATGTTAATAATTCAAATTTTCTTCAAGCCTTATTTTCTGCAAAAATCTCAGATTTTACTCAAAAGTCCAATTTTAAAAGATATTTTTGTAAAAAAAATATTGAAAATGTGATCTGTATCCTAAAGAAAAACCAAACACACAACAAAAAAAAAAAATTAGCAGCATACTGAGAAAGGAGTATATATACATATACATACACGTGCATGTATATGTGTATGTATTTAAATCTCACAGTTGTCTGAAGTAGGCTTTTATCAGCTTAGTCCCATAGATTAGAATACTGGAGAAAATGTATTAAAACCAAAAGCATATTTTTAATAATTCTTGGCTATTTTTGCAACACTTGACAAAACCTGTTTGCTTTTAAAAGGTCAGGTGTAATGCCTCGTGTTTACACACAGACACAGAGCACAGCATGGCTCCCAAATGCAGACATGTACTCCTGGCCCTTGCCTTCACTCACCTTTCCCTGCAGTTCCCACTGCCATGGTGCCCTTTGTGGAAGCTGTTTCTATCCCACTGGAAGTCTATTGCCATGTGTAAAACTATGAGGAGCTGAGTGTCCCCTGAGAAAACAGAATCAGCAGCCACTCAGGAGGTCAGGACCAAGGCTGTGCCCAGGAAAGTCACAGCTCTCATGTGTTCCTGCCCCTTCTGTACCCAGCCCTATCACCCTTGTCATGCTGCATTTCACAGAATTACAGACTGCCTGGGGACTTCTGAGCACAGACAGCACCCTCAGAGAGAATCTGTTCTGCTGCCCTGCTCAGGGCAGGGGCACTGAGAGCAGCTGCTCCAGGTGTGTCTGTGGGATCTCAGGATCTGAGTCCTGAGATGCCGAGCCACCGAGACCACCCTTGGGGGGCCCGGGAGTCCTGGAATGTTGCCAGAAGTGTCTGGTGGCAGGACTTTGACCCTACACGGGAGACGACACCTGTATGAAGATAAGAGGACTTCACCGGGGTGAATGGCGAAAAGATTAGTTAATTAGAGGGTGAGACATAGGGTTTAGGATTTATGTACAGGGGGGTTTAGAGAAGTACGATGGAGGAATTGGGGTGTGTCCTGTCCTTCTTCTTCTTCTTCTTCTCCTCCATCTTCTTTGGTGATGGTGGCACTTTTGGATTGGTTATTACTGAAAGTGCACCGAGTAATAAGAATAAATGGTATTAGGGAAAAATGATAAATATTGTACACGTAACAATGGGTATAAAGATAGGTGGCTTTACGGAGAGCGGCACAGTGTGCTCATGGCTGACTGCTGAGCAGACCTCTGTCGGGCTGAAAGAACATCTTTTAGATAAACAATTAATAAACATAAAAACCGAAAGAAGAACTGAAGCCTCTTCTCGTCCTTCGATACGCGGGCTGCCCCAAGGCCACTCTGGGCCTTTCCAGGCCCTTCAAACAGACCAGAAAACCGGACATGTGTCCAGCAAGGCTGAAGACAGAAAAAGCAGAAGATAAATGTTAGAGAAAGGCAGGGTTCAGGCATTGCACAGAACATGAGCGCCTCTGCAACTGGAAGATGGGGTTGGTCTCATTAAAAGTTTTCATTTAAACAAGCATGTGGCATTTATGATGACAAAATTATTAAGTAAAAATTTCTAACAGCATGTACTCTCAATTCACTTTCCTTTCTTCTATTCCTCAGAATACCAGTATAGTTTTCTTCTTGTTCTCCTTTTCTTAAAAAAAAAAGAATGAAACAAAACAACAGAATAACATTGATAATTTAATAAAGAAATTTACTTTTGATCCTATTCTCTTGCATATTATTTTTGTAAGGGCCAGCCATAAATCAACCTCCCACTTCATTTTTTCTTTTCAGTGAAGTGGTAAAAAGAGGCGTTTCTGCAGCTAGAAACATAATTTTTAGACATAAATAATTTTTATGTCTAAAAATTATCCTTAGCCATCCTAGGAATACTCACCTCAAGGTGTGTCTCTGTGTCCTCCAGAGCAATAACTGTAGCAATGAGAATGGGATGGGGGAGCTTAAATGTGATGATAATCACTCATTTATTCCCAGCACATGCAATGCACCTCAGAAAAAACACAGGAGCCATAACACAGGGGACAGTGTTGTGTACTGGAGAGCCTTTAAAGGCATTAAAATGAAAATACAAACCATTAAAGCTGTTCAGGTATATTTTAACTTCCTGTTTGAGGCATAGACGCTGAGGATGGCACAGCGTGTTTTTTTGTCTGTGTCCAGCAAAGGGCTGTGCTTTCAGGCTACCTTTTCCTAGGAATAAGGAAACACAAGCTGATTTTAGGAAAATCAACACAAGCTGAGCAGGCATCTTTCTGTGATGCTGTGACTTATTCATGCTAGGTAATTTGATCAGGATGTTAAACACCTGCTACACACGAAATAGTCTCAGTCTCCCTCTTGCAGCAAAAGGATTTTTATTTGATACTGATGCCTTGTGTAGACTGACCTAGAACAGAGGCTAGATGGAGCTAAAGAATAAAGCAGGTATTTATTAGGAGGCCTCAGTAGATTTATCTTGGGCAGCACAAGAGCCCAGCCAGGGCTACACCCAAGATGAACCAAAATGGTCACAAAATGCACGACTGGTCACAAGGTCTCTCACTTTTATGAGTTCTGGTCCATTGGCATATTGGAGTTAATTGTCCAATTACAGCTTCAGCCCATGAAGTCCCATCCTTCTTGTTTTTCTCTCTTCATTCCACCATTGTTTATGCTCCTGGGCCTCAGATTTGGATCATTTGTCCTTGGTCCCCAGCTAGAGAAGGAATTGTTTTGTCTGCCTGCTCTGTAAAGAGAGCTTACCATCCCCTAATATGAAGCTCAGAAGAACACACCAAAGCAGTACAGAATCTGAAAAATATAAAAGCCAAAACCTGAGGCATCAATACCAAAAAAGAGAAACAGCTTAACATGTGGGGTAGAGCTGAAGATCAGGAGGTGCTTGGAAAAGGAGGACCAGGCTGTGCCCTGTGCAGGAGGAAAGGGCCAGACCCAGAGAGGAGGCAGAGCTGAGGCAGAGCAGGAGCAAAGGAGGAACTGGCTGGCCAGCCTGGCACTGGCACTGCAGCTGCCACACAAATCTTGCAAATAAAGAACATTTGTTTTGCAGCCAGTTGAGGAACTGGATGTGATTTTTACAGGTGAGCTGTAAAAATCCTATACACAGGAGTGTGTTTTCCCACAGAACAATGTGGTTCATAAATGACTCCAGAGCCACAGGTAAAAAGAATGGGAGACATGCAAGGTGCACCATACACAGTATGTTTCTGACAGATAAGCACTAAATCTGGAGACAAAGGACCACATGGATGCCCAGTAAAGTAATTTGTTCATACAAACTGTCTGGAGGAAATCAAGATTGTAAATCAGAGTCCTTTAGGATCAATATCTTTTCATGTTTATCTGCTGAGAAATGATGGCTTTTGCTTATGCAGCACTGCCCAAGTTTATCATGAAGACAAGAGTTTTCAAAGGCTGCTGAACTCCTTTGGCACATCACTTCTTTAAGTCTCACACAATAAAAACTGTCACACAGCATGGAAAAAACTCCCTGCATCAGGTATTATTCTTCACAAGAAAGCTATACTGTAGTTTAAATTAGCTAGGTGCTTCTGACCCCCTATTTAAAATGTGTTTGCACTGACATCCCAAGAAAAGAGTTTTGTTATTTAATTGCACTGTCAGTGCCAATGCTTTCAGCTAAACCCATTTGGAGTTAGACCTTTTAATAGAAAGTGACAATTTAAATTGCCACGATAGCAGCATAAATGGTGCTTAAAGTCATTATTAACCTGATGCTGCAGTTGGCTCCAGACCAGTTTATTAAAGCAAAATCAAGGTGCAGGGAGGAGGGGAAGAGGAAATTAAGTGATGAATCATTAATTCCTTTGCTATTCGCTGTAACAACAGCAGCTGTGGTGAGAGAATTTGCAAGGTGAGGGAGACAATGGATAATGCTGTCCCCGCTTTGCCTGAAGCAGCATCCCTCGGGGAGGAATTCGGGTTTGGGATGCTGTCCCATGGGATGCTGTCCTGCTCTCCTGGCCCACTGCCAGGGTGGGCATTTGGGGTTCTGTCCGGCCGCGGGGGTTTGGCAGGACACCAGTGACACTGAGTCTGAGCACTGGGTTCGGGGCAGGCCCTGGTGCCCCGGCTGCCAGGGCAGATCCCTGGGTTTAACTCCCTGCTTAGGGCAACTGATGCCGGGAGAGGCCCATTGGCGGCGGGGCTCCCTCTGGGGCTCTCCGAGCTGCCCGCGGCTCCGGCAGCCCTGGCCAGCGGCTTCTGGCCGGGTCCCGCAGCTCCGGGGCTGAGGGGGCCCGGCCCTCCCCACCCCGGGCCCTCCCTGCTCCTGCCCCCGGCCCCTCCGAGCTGCCCTCGCCCCGGGCCCCTCCGGCCCTCCCCGCCCCGGGCCCCCTCAGCCCCCGGGCCCGGCCTTATCCGGCACCGCCACCTGCCGACCGCGGCCCGGGCCCGCCGGGGGCGAGGGAGGTGCCGGGGACAGGAGGGCTCTGCCATGGAGCAGCTCGGGGCTGCCGCAGAAGGGCCGGGACGGTGCCTCTGGGGGAGCTGCACAGCCGGCTTCCCTGCTCCGCCGGAGCCCTGCCCTCCTGCCGCCCTTCTGCCTCTTGCTGGCCTCAAAATGACACCTTCGCCTCTAATCAAATAACTTTCTCCCACACAGAATCAGAGACCAAGTCAGCTGCCTAGTCACCGCTTAGAACCAAGCAGCATCCACTTAATTTTGCAACTGGTTGCTGCTATCATAATGGGCAACCAACCTAGTTGCTCAAAGTGTGGACTTCAGCTACTAATTCAACCCCTATGCAAAGGCAACACTTCTCTCTTAGGTACATCAAATTCCCCCATTTTTGGGACTGTTGGTGCACTGCAAAAGGAAATGGTACAAGACACATTTCTCAGTACTACCAACCTCTCTACAAGAGAATTCAAGGAAAAGAAGCAAAAGTAACATCCACTAACTTGAATTTTGGATTTTCAGTGTAAACCTATAACTCCCTTTACTCTGTCTTGAATTACCATCTTTCCACAAGCTTCCTGAAGCTGGCCACCACAGCTTTCTAAGCACCACAAGCTTTCTAAGCAGACACCAGCTGGGAAAGCTGCCTGGCATTCCTCTTGTTTGGAGACATCCCTCACCGCCTCTCCCCAAAGCTCTCCAAGTGTCACTTTGGTGCTCAAACCCTCTCTCTGCAGCATCACAGGTTCATGGAGGCTCCTCCATGGGTGACTAAGGAGGAACAGCCATGCACTCCTGAACAGGCCATCATTTGGTCTGTCAGCAGAAATTAATTTGATCTTGGCTACACCAACCAAAAACCAAAAGGAAGCCCTGTGATTTCTGCCCCTTGCACTTGGCAGCCCCAGGTGGGAACAGGACTCCTAAAATTGGTTCTTAATATTGATCCCACTAATAGGATCAGTGATTTAAGACTCACAAGCCTCTTAGTACTAATAAGCTAAGCAGTGGCAGGTCTGATAAGGCTTTGGACACAGGAATTGGCTCCCTCGTGCAATGGGGAAGAAAAGCCCACCTGCAGGGAAGCAGCAGGATGTGCTGGCACAGGGCTCAGTGGTTGAGATGGCATCCCCAGCCCTGCTGGGATGATCTTGCACCTCAGGAGGAACCCTGGGCATCTAAACATGCAAAAGCCACCAGGGCAACTAAAGGATGGATATGGCCCCCTCAGCATTGATTCTCTCCTCTAGAGGTGCTCTTCTGGTGCCCTGCCTCCTGATTACTATAGGCAGACCTGTCAGCACTAGTTATCTGCCATTTGCATATCATCTCATTGTATGCTTTTCCAAAAATTGTAAATAAATAAATAAGAAGGGCAACAAATGTTATTTTTAGACACTTGGAGCTCAACTAACTTTAAGAGTCTGCTTTGTAATCTGGAATCACTTTCAAGTCAAGAACATGTTAATTTTGTTTTCTTTTATGTAAGAGCTGTGTCATACTGAAGAGACATCACTTGCCAAATGTTTTTGTCTTTCAAGCACCGGTGTATCTCACAGATCGATATGTGTTCTGGGGGACATCACTTATTTGAACACAAATGGTAAATCAAGTCCTTCCCCTCCCTGAGGAGCCAGGGATGGTCCTGCATGTACAGGGCTTTCTCTTTGCTTTAATGGTCTTCCACATCAGGAAATGCAAGGCAGCTGTGCTTAGCTGCTGGTGCACCCTTCCCAGCCTCCTTGTCTCCCTGATGCAAGAGGGAAATCTCTTTTTATCCAGTCCTTTCTGCCACTGACCTCCTGCAAGGGGCCAGGCTGGTACTTTGGTTTTATTTCATTGTCTTCAGCTCATTTCAAAAGCTCTCAATGAAGACAAGGAATATCTAGTCAGAAAAGGAGTTGCTGCTTGGGCACTCTTGGCAGCCCAGCAGCCATTCCTCCTTCAGCCAGATCCAGGGGAGGAGAGGGGGCTGGTTGCATCTCTCTGTGCAATTGTCAGGAGCCCCCCTTGACCCAGCACACTTTGGGACTCTGGGAAAGTGTCCAAACCAGGATCCTGCCTGCCAGCCTTGGGAGAGCAGGCACTGAATATCCAAGTTGTGGGGAAGGTTTTGCTCTGCACTTGCAGGTAAAGCTACCTGGCCTCAGTGGCAGGGATCCATCATCCCCAGCCTCACACAGGAGCCAATCCTGCACTCCTGCTGGGATTCTCTTCAGGCTCACACAGAAATCCTGGCACAGGACACTTGCAGCACAGGCTGTTTGTCTTTCTGCAGCAGTCAGCTTCTTCTGATCCTTCCCAGGCTCTGTGCCTGCACATGTGAAGTATCTGGGTTTGTGGTGAGAGCCCAGAGCCCCAAGCTGCCCTAACAAGAGGAGGGTCAGGGCTCCTGTTGCTCTGCAGTGACCATGAGATGGTATCACTCTCCTGGCTTGCTGGGGTCTTTTTGCAAGGTGTTTGTTGTACTACAGAAGATCT